GAGCGCCAGATGCTTGCAGAGCTTGACGAGATGCCCACCTTCCCCGACGGTGAGCGCTCGGGCAAAGGCCAGGGCACGGGCCGCTTCACCCAGCGCAAGCGCCAGGCCCTCGCTTCGTCTTCGGTCGGTGCTCCTGTACCTTCTCCTCATGATGATGAAGATGACGATGGTGACTTTCTCCGGCAGCTCTGCAGAGAGGAGTTTGCCTCGATGCGGGACACCATCACCACCGAGGTGTCAGAGTCGGTTGCCAAGACCATCACCTCCAATCACAACACGTTGCTCAAGATGCTGTCGTCCATGCAGGGCGAAGTGGCAAAACAATCCAGTGCCATCGAGAGCCAGGTTCAATCGGCGATCGCACCCAGACTCGACTCGCTCAACAGACGCCTACAAGCCCAGCTTGACGAGCAGAAGCGCAGCATCGACGCGCTGGAGGGCAGAGCCGACGAGCATGACAAGTCCATCCAGGATCTTCAAGACCAGCTGGCGGAGCTACGTCGCCAGATGGCCATCGCTGAACAGACTCCCAGGAAGCAGCTGGCTGCTCCCACCTCCTTCGACCGCGAGGAGGACACCACGATCGTTGTTGCCGTCTCACAGCGACCGACTACCTTGGCGTCAGTGGTCTCAACGCTACGCCCGTGGCTCGGCGAGAATGGCTTTGATGACGAACAGTATGAAATCAAGCAGAAGGGTGAGTCCCCGGCCAGGAGGTTCGAGATCTGCTTCTCGGGCTCGGCCACCATCGCCTCGCGCCGTGCCAGCAAGGCCACCTCGCTCCTCAAGGGACCCGACGGCTGGAAAGAGTTCTGGGTCGACCCTCCAGGCGCCGAGCGATGCCGTTTGCACCTCGGCCCCGACAAGTCACCCAAGCGCATCAAGACCGAGGTCACCCTCCGCAAGGCCAGGGCGATCATCGAGCTGCAGTACCCAGGCAAGCGATTCTACTCCGACCGCGAGCATGGCGCCCTCTCCATTGGGTGGGACAAGATCATGCACGCCAACGTCTTCCATGGCGACACCCCGCCCAAGATCTACTGGGACTCTGCGCAGCTCGCCAAGCACGCCATGGCTATCGACACGCTCCGCAATGCTGTCAAGGAGCTCACGCATCCGTCTGATCCCAGCCAGTGGTGTCTTTAGCGCTGCTGGACTATTTCACCTTCCTCCCCCGCCGCCTGGGTCAGCGGCGCCTACGTTTCGGATCGCTACGTGGAATTCTCGGGCTCTTCTTCAGGCTGGCGGGGATAAGGCCATCCTGAAGAGAAAGTATGTTCTCAGTCTTCGTCCCCTCTCCACGGTCATCGCGCTGCAGGAGGTGCACCAGGACCACTTCCAGCTCGACTCGTTCTTCCGATCGATTGCGTCGGGCCTCGCGATCCACTCCAGCTTCATCTCTGACGCAGATGACGGGCATCGGCGGGGTGGGGTTGCTGTGGTGCTTCCGCCGTTGGCTTGTCAGGGCCTCACCGCTCCGTCCTCATCATCCACTGTTCTGGTTCCTGGCCGAGTGATGCTAGTCCGAGTTTGGGATGACTGCCGCACGCTCGACATTTTCAACATTCACAATCATGGTCTGTCCGCCCAGCAAGTTCGTGAAGTGGCTGCTGCGATACGAGTATCGCAACGTGCTGCCGCCCTCGACCCCGACATGTACACCACCTTTGTTCTCGGGGACTTCAATTTTGCCACGCACGAGGCTCTCGCTCTCGCTGCCCCCGCGGCGGCCGTGCGCAAGCTGTCGAAGTGCCACCACGTGCAGGCGCCCAAGTGGCGCCAGGCCCTCGCCCTCCTGACCGAGATTGCGTGCGAGGACCCCACGCACTACGAGAAGTTCAACGACTCGTGCGCGACGATCGACCGCGTCTTCTGCTCGATCACGGGCTGGCAGCTCTGCCAGCTGTTTGTCCAGATTGGCACGCTTGGCTCGCCGGCGGCCGTCGCTGCCGTTGTTCTCTCGCTTGCCTGCCGCCCGCCTCGTCCAGTGGAGTCCCGCCCCATCCCCAAGCACCTGTTCTCTGAGCCTGGTTTCAAGCGTCGCCTGGAGGGGCTGTGCTCCTGCATCCCGCGGGACTCCATGTCGCCCCCGTTCAAGGTTGAAAAGTACAAGGAGCTTTTGAAGATTTCGGCCGCGGAGACCAGGGACGCCCTCTTTCGAGACAGACCACATCACCCGCACACCTGCCTCCTGCTCGCTCGCGCCCTCGCCCGTGTGGTTTGGAGACAAGACCTACGCATGGCTTCCAGGCTCCAGGACTCCCACCCCCTAGCCATAGACATGATATCGATTACCAACGGGAAGGTCGAGATCCGCCACCCGCCGTCCTTCCAGGCTTGGGTCGACCAGGTCCAGACTGAGGCTGCTGAGTCCGCGAAGGCTGAACTTGAAGATCGCAGGCGGCGTGAAGGTGACCGCGCCCAGATTCGTGCCCAGGTCCGCGCTCTTGAACGGCGCGCTCGTCTCTGGTCCCCTCTCAACCGAAGGATATCACTCTCAGCGGTCATCGCGCCTGATGGCTCGGCGGTCAGCGTCCCATCTGATCGACTGCGGGTACTATCGGAGCACTGGGCCCCTGTCTTCCAGAAAAAGCCGTGGGACTCCGCTGCTGCTGCTCCTTACCTACGCCGCCTTGCCCCTGACCTTCCTGCCGACCTTCACCTCCCCCCGCCGTCGAAAAATATGCTACGGCGTGCGATTCGATCTGCCCAACACTCTGCCCCTGGGCCTGATGCTCTCCCGTACGCGGCGTGGGCGGCGTCCTCGTGGGGGGCTGACATATTATGGGACGCTCTTGGATGGGTTCTCAGGGGCCAGGAGTTGTTTGCGAATACTAGTGGCACGATCCAGATTTTTCTGCCCAAAAACGTCACGGACTTGGAGCTCCGCGATGCCAGCTGCTCCCGCTCCCCAGACAAGGTTCGGGTCTTGGGCCTCAGGAACTGTGACCTGAAGCTCATCTCGTCCACTGTCAATCGGGCGATACGACCCGCCCTGGTTTCTCTCGCCCCGCCGTGCCAGCGTGGATTCATCCCGGGTAGGAATTTCGGCAACAACATCCTCGAGCTCGACGTGTCGTCTCGTCAGATGTCGGTCGTGCCTCACGGGTCTACCGATATCCCTGTGTTGTATTCCTTGGACTTCGGCCAGGCCTTCCCGTCCCTGAATCAGGACTTCCTCATTCTCTCCCTTAGGGCCCTCAAGCTGCCCGAGGCTTTCGTGTCCTTCGTCGCGTTCCTATATGCATCGGTGGAAGGGGTTGTCTCGCACCTAGGCTCGCTTGTGCACATCTTCTGGATCCAGAGCGGCATCATCCAAGGTTGTGCCTTATCAGGCACTCTCTATGCGTTGAGTACGGCTGTCTTCTTGGTCGACCTGGCGTCTCGGGTGGAGGCCGCTGGCCTTGGCCTGGTTCGGGCCTGTGCTGATGACATTGGGGGCGCGTTATTGGCCATACGCCACCTAGTTCATGTATATCGGGTTATGAAGATGGCCTCGGACTTGGCCAACCTCGCCTTGAAGGTCTCGAAATGCAAGATTGTCCCGCTGTCTGACAGGTTCTCGCCCAACCTCTCCGCCACAGTCTCCTACTGGGTCTCCCATCTGGTCCCCGAGTGGAGCTCGTTCGAGGTGGCTCCCAAGCTGCTCTACCTGGGCCTCTGGTTGGGGCCTGCTGTTGTTCCGTCCACTTCGTGGATTGACCCCGTCGCCAAATTGCGTCTCAGGGCCCAAGCCATCGGGCGGGGAACCGCTCCCGCCAGCCTTTCCGCTACACTGTACAATACTCGGGCCGTCACGACCATATCTTACGTTGCCCAATTCTGCTGGCCACCAGCGTCCGTGCTGCAGCCTGAGTTGTCGACGCTCGCGCAGGTGTTCCGCATCCCGCTCGGCACTTTCGCCCTCGACTTCTGGACGCAGATCGCTCAGTGGGGCGGCCCGCGCTGCACGCGGTGGGGGCACCTGGCGGTCGCCACCATCACGCGGGCTGCGCTGCACACGTTCCCTGGCTGGGAGAGGCTTCTCCAGCAGCTGAGGAACCACGCGAGCTCTGCCCCGTACGATGCCACCCTGTCCATGCTGGCGACCGGCAAGCCGTGCCCGTCCTTCTGGTTGGCCCCCGCATTTGTGGAGAACCTGGAGCTGGCTGCCGCGGGCACCCCTCCTCCTGGCCCTCTGGCCGTCTTTGGTGATCGTGCTGCCGTCGCTGCGCTGGCTGAACTTCGTGAGAGCGGCCGACCCCGTCCTCGTCCTCAGAAGGCGGCTCACGAAGCGCTGCGGGCCTATGCGGTGATGAACAAGCCTATCACGGACCTCTTCGTGCTGCGCCTGAGGAAGTTCGCTGGCAGGTCGGCGGGCCTCTTATCGCACATCGACTGGGGCGTGTGCAAGAGCGTCCTCGCCCGCTGCCCGTGTTCGTGGGCCATGGCAGTCCTGCGCACTTGGTCTGATGGCTGGATGACTTCGGCCCGTATCATCTCTCCTGACGGGCAGAAGCATTGCGTTTTTGGTTGTCTCGGCAAGCTCGACTCGTTGCGGCACTATGCGAGATGCCCCGTCATGCACCGTGCCCTTCGACAGGCTCTCGCGAGACCGTTCCCGCTCCCGTGGATGTCCAGATGGGGCTTATCTGAGCCCTCGCTGGCCACCTTCTCGGCAATGGCGGCCGCCTACAACATGTACAACGAAGCGAGGCTGGCGCCCGTGTGGCCCCTGTCCCCGCCCCTCCTCCGCAGCTGCGCTCTCGCTGGTGTACGTTCGATGCAGCTTGCGTCACCGCTGAAGTGCTCGGAGATCGACCGCGACCAGCTCGGCCGACGGGACTACCTCATCCGCAGCTCTTCGTCTTCATCCTCCTCGGGGTCGTCTCCACGGCTCACCCCTGCCGTTTCGTCGTCAGACAGCGACGCGGCCACCGTCTCCACGGCCATCGCCACGATCCCGTCGGACTCCGACGATGATGATGCACTTCAGCTTCCAGCGACACCGCCAGCTACGTGCTCTCCCTCGGCGTCGGCGACTTCCTCCCCACCTTCCTCCGCGCCCCCGCCGTTGACGCGCCCCACTTCAACTCTGAGAGCGACCCCATCTCCTCCAACGGCGTTGAGAACTCCACGGATGGCGGCCGCCTGCTCATCATTGTCGCCGCCGGCCCCAATTTCGCCCTGTGCTTCTGTGTCGCCGTCCCCGCCAGTGACGCTCTCGTCTACGGGCTCGCTTGCCTCGTCGCCTCCCATCGGCGTTAGATCGCAAGTCCCGTTGTCGTGTTCGGGCTCACTGTCGCCAGATGCTGGATGCCTCGAGACGCCCCAGCTGGGCCCAGGCGTTAGATCGCAAGACCCGTTGTCGTGTTCGGGCTACACGTCGCCACGCGCTCACTGCCTCGAAGAGGAGCATCTCTCCAGTGGCGTTAGAATGCAAGTCCCGTTGTCGTGTTCGGGCTCGCCGTCGCCACAAGAACGTTGCCGTGATTCGGGACGCTGGTCCGTCGGCGTTAGATCGCAAGTCCCGTTGTCGTGTTCGGGCTCGCAGTCGCCACTGTCGGACGAAATCCTGTGAACCTGGTGGCGGCTCGACGATCGGTGCGATCCCCCTCTCCGATTTCCACGCGCTCTCCGATGTCGCGCTCCCCGTCAGTGTCGCCGACGGCTCCGATGACGCTCCCACCGTTGCCCTCTGAGTGTGCTTCGGAAAATGAGCGGCATGCTGTTTCTTTTCCCCCGTGCTCGTCCGTCGCCCCTCCGACGGCCACCCTGGCCACGCCTCTCCCTTCGCTCTCTTGCAGCCCTGTGCCCGGCACCCAGGCTCCAGCTTTGCCCGTCACCTCCCCTGGCGCCGTTTTCCTCTGCCCTCCCCCCTCCTGTCCTTCGCTCCTGAGCTCTGCTCCTGCCGTTGCTTGCCCCCCGCCCGCTCCTCCTCCCACTGCGTCGCATCACCGCCTGTCCCACTCACTAGTGCCCGACTGTAGCATCGTGTCTCCGCCCATCGTTTCCCCCTCCGCTCCGTCCTTCGAGTCCTCCCTGCTGCTGCCCTCTGCTGTCTCGCCTCTCCTTCTCTCCCCCGCGCTCGCCTCGCCGTCGCTCATGTGCCCCGACGCCGCCGCCTCATCTCGGTTCATTTCGTCCAGGTCGGATGGAGGCCCCTCGCCTCTCCCCGCCCCCCAATCTTCTAGCGTGGGCAGCTCGCTCGCGTAGTTGCTGACGAACCCCGCCTGGTACGCTGGGCTCCTCCTCCTCCCCCTCCTCCTCCTCCTCCTCCTCCTCCTCCTCCTCCTCCTCCTCCTCCTCCTCCTCCTCCTCCTCCTCCCACGCACGGTCCTGGGGCCGCCGGGGGGCCGAAGGCGACGAGAAACCGTTCGGGGTTGAAGAAGTCCTCTCGTCGGAGCTCTGGGGCCACCCCCAGCCTTTTTAGTTTCCCAGCCACCGCTCTGAATTGCGGGCCCTGACCTCTTCTCCAAGGCCTAACCGAGCCTGCGCGCTGTGCTGCCAGTCCGGCTGGCTCGTCGCCGCCCGTCGCCGCCGTTGACCGCTTGCTGAGCCTGAGTGCTGGTCTGGCCCGCTCGCCGCCGCCGTCCGTCGCCGCCCCGGTGCCGGTGCAGCCGGCTGGCCGCCGCCCGTCGCCTGCGTCCGTCGCCAGCCCTTGCGCTCGTCCACTCGCGCTCGTCCACTCGCACAGCATAGCGGAGCATAGCAGCGCATAGCATAGCATGCCACAGTTGTACTGTGTTGCGTTGATTTGCGTTGCTTAGTATTGCTTGGCATGGCTTTGCGTTCCTGCGCACTGCACCTCGCTGCGATTGCTTTGCGTTGCTTGTAATTGCTTGGTATCGTGTTGCATTACTTTGCATCGCGTGGCATTGCTCTGCATTGGTGTACATTGCTGTGCGTTGCTTTTCATGTATTTGCATTGCTTTCCATTGTCTTGTATCCCATCGCATTGCATTCCATTGGATTGCATTGTATTGCGTTGGATTGGATTGCGTTACGTCTCGTTGCATGTTTTTGCATTGCACTGCCTTGCGGTGCACTGATTTGCATCGTGATGCTTGTTTTGTATGAATGTGTTGTGTTGCGTGTTGCATTGCGTCGCACTTCTTTGCGCTGCATTGCTTTGTATTGCTTTGCATTGTTGTGCTTTGCATTACTTTGTTTTGCATTGTTTTGCCGTGCGTTGCACTGCCTTGCACTGCATTCCGCTTCGTTGTTTTGCATTGCGTTGCATTGTTTTGCATTGGTTTGCATTAACTCGCATTGTGTTGCGTTGCTTGGCATACCTTTCCATTGCGTATTGTGTTGCGTTGCTTGGCATACCTTTCCATTGCGTTGCGCAGCTTTGCTTTGCGTTGCACTGATGTGCATTGCAGTGCGCTGATTTGCATTTGCATTGCTATGCAGTTGTTACATTGCTTTGCATTGATTTGCACTGCTTCGAATTGCTCTACACCGCCTAGATTGATTGCATAACATTGATTGCACCAAGTAGGTTGCGCCGCATAGATTGCAAGAGCTCACAGCTGGGCGTCTACGCTGGCAAACATCTCTTCACGATGTGACCTCCCGAGGTCTGGACCCCTTCCTGGGGACCGGCTTTTCATCCTCCATTTCTTCTGTTGACGCTCCCGAGGCCATGGTCAGGGCCCCTGGAGGCTGAAAAAAAGCAAACGCAAAAGCCAGTGCCGCCGCGATGCTTCCGCGGCGCGAGAGGGGGGAGGCCCCTCGGCCGCCTCGAGGAGAGCGACGCGGGGAGTGGCGAAGATCGCGTCCCTGGAGCTC